TGGATTCCAAAAATTTGTGCTAACCAGTGCCCCATAAAGCAGTCTAGGACATGGGAACACTCTGTTAAAGCTGTTTCACTTCAAATGGAAGACTTTGGTATTCACTTGGCCAGGGGAAAAAAAAAGGAGCATGACTCTGAAATTCCCTGGGCACAGCAGACTCCTAGCCAGTGTTTTGGAGTAGTTAAAACAGAGATGGTACCTAGAGAATATATTTCTGTATTTAAATTCAGTGCAATACATTTGGACAGGATCTGAGGTGTCCACTCAGAATCGTAATGAATACTTAGGTAGGACAGATGAAGTCAGTGACTAGTACCTCATTCTTATAGCCCAACACATTGCTTAAAAGAATTCTGAGAACTTGAGGTGTTAAAACATCACTTCTAAAAGTGACAGTCTGAAGATCCTGGATAGAGAAAATCATGGTTGCGACTACAACCATCAGTCACCTGCTTTTTGAGACAGCCAGCATTGCTGGTTGTACTTTCAAGGCAAGCATTACAGCGGTGGAAAGGCTCATTGGTTAATAATGTGAAATCAGGCCTGGAGGCACTGTGTTACCCCAGGGAATGACACATGGTAGCAATACAAATTCAAGTAATCCAGCAGAAAAATACTGTCAAAGCCCCTTGATAAAGAAATGTTTGTGAGAATTGGGTATTGGCTAAACAGCTCATCAAATCCTTCACAGTCCTATTATTGCTTCCCATTTCTCGTCTCAGTTCAGTCTCAGGCAAGAACAAAAGATCGCAAAGCACTTTTCCAGGACCAAGAACACTGATGTACTTTTCAGTTCTAGTAGCTCATTTCTGTTTTGCTTTGGATCAGACATGAAGTGGTTGTTTCTATGGGAGTGAAAGAAGAGCAACAGAGGATGAAATGAAAGTGTGCTAAAACTGCAGCTGCCTTAGACTCCAGTGAAAACCCTGTACTAGGAACAGAAATAAAGTCGCAACAGAAGGTACAAGAAAACAGCCAAAAAGTCTCCAGTGTTGGCTTGGATGCCAGAGATTGCACAGAGCGCTTCCCACAGAAAGCCGTACGTGCCGATCTCTGTAGCATTCTGACTTAGAGCTAACATGGGTCATCAGCAGACACTGCGTTTTTGGACAAATCACGGGAGATTTCCAAGCTATGTGTAGGAGGAATAGGACTGAGCAAGACCTACGTGTTAATCATCAGCCTGACAAAAGGCATCTATTTGATCTTTAATACTTGGTCACAGGCTCTATGTGACACAGTGGACGTTAGAGAGAGATGATGAGTGTGAATCTTATTTCATTATCCATGTGCTCATGTGTAAGGAGAGGCAGTTCGTACAGCCATCTGGTCTCACTGTGCAGTCATGCAACAGTTTTTCAGATCTTTGTCTTCTGATTGGCCTTCTTTCACTCTAATTTTCTGTCTTGTTTGAACTAAGAAGGACGAATGACTAGAAAGCAATGCTCGCTTTTGTCTGTCAGCTCACAGTATCACAGGAACGTATTTATATTGGTACCAGCTACAGATCTCTTTGCAAGTACGAAATGGGATGGAGCAGCCGTAGAGCAGCCCTGGAGGGGCTGAAGAGAACTCTTTTTGCTTGTTATTGCTTCCCACCTACACTCTATCCTTGCATATATACTTAAAGAGGAGTCAGAAACAGTAAAATCAGGGTGTACACAAGGTCTTCAAAGCTACAGATATGAACTCCCAGCAGTACTTATACCCATATTTTGACTCTGTTAATCCTCCCATCCATCTTCCACCTTCTCCTAATAAGTGTATAATGTCTCCTATCACACCTCTTGCCTTTGTTTTGCTGCTAAAACCCACTCAGGTCCCCAGTTCACGCACACAAAGGTGCTGCTACAAACAGTAGGCCTGATCCTGCACACGTATAATGAACATCTGTGCGCTTGGGGTCATTCTCTGCCAGATGTTAGCACTAATTAGTGCTTTCACAGCTTTCAGGTTTTTACCGGCTGCTGCTCTCGCTCTATTAAAGTCAGTTAAAACAAAGCTGGTTAGCACTCTGAAGTCCCCCCAGCCTGACAGGGAAAGCCTTCGAGGGCAAGTGTTTCTCACTCTGTATTTCAAAATCCTGCAGGTTCTCAGACTTCCAACCAATCTTAACTTCATCCCGAATCAAAAGAAAAGGGAATCAAGAAACCTTAGCTAAACACATCGATTTATCAAAAACAAACAAAAAAAAAAAAAAAAAAAAAAAAAAAAAAAAAAACAACGAAACATGGACCCTCCAGGATAGCCAGGAACAGCCTATACTTTTCCCTCTGTATTTACTTTCTGTGTTGGACTGAGCACTCACTAATGACTGGTATGCCAATCGCTTTAAGGAGAGGAAAGGCTCAGGGATGAAAAGAGACAACCAGGGAATTCTAATTCAGACATTTATCAAGCTCTTAGACTCAGATGCTCCTGAAATTCATTTGTAAAACCATGTGAACTTTCTCACTGAAGGAATATCAGCAGTGATACCATTGTGGGGGAAAGAAAAGATCTCAAGCTTTGAAAATATGACCGTAAGTGCTTTGCTGAATAGTGTTCAAGTGGGTTTGAAACTAGGTAAAATGAGTTTGTCTGTCCCTACTTAAAACTGCAGATTAGATAAGTATGAAAATATTTTCTCTGCTAAGCTATCAGCGCTTGGCTTCTCTTTTAATTATAGTCAAATAATGTAACAAAGGGCAATTTCCATAACATTCATTCTAACCATTTTTACACTTTACATTACAAAATTATGCTGAGCATTTATCAGGGCATGTACAACATCTACTGCCTTGCGCTTTACCTTGATGCTGATTCCTCTGAAAGAGCAGCAAAAGAGAGAGACCTTCTAGTGGCCTAAAGTCTTGTCTTCAGAGGGCTGCTCAGAAAATCACCTGCATGGATTACAATACATGATTTGGGTATCACACTCCTAGTGTATGGCCTTTGTTGATAAACCATCTCACAATCTGGAATCACTTGATTTCTGAGCCTGCGTTGACCCTATTGTCTCAATTTCCACTTTTCAGTCTGGCACAGTTTCAGTTGCACACACACTATTCACTTCCTATTATTCATGGTGAGTAGATAGCTGATCCTCGGAATCAGACTACTTTTCTTAGACAGGAGACTATTATGAAAAATGATAAAGAACAACAGTTTCCTATTAAAATTTCCACAGCATCTCAAGATGGCAACAAATCCCCACTGAACCTGGGTATTTTACACAGGCAGTAGCAGAATTCCTAGGTCTATTGAGATATCTTGCCAGAGATCATCTTTAAATGTGAGTTCAACATCTTGTTCAGTGATGTTAGTGCATGAGGCTGAACAAAAGTTGGCTCATGTTTCACAGCCTGAGTCTTATTCCAGGCATTAGAGAACTTAACAGGGAATGCTTAGTGAGCACTCTGGTGGCATCATTTTTAGGGGACAACATTTGAAACCAAAGAAATTATAGCCTTGAAACAAATATGGAGAGTGAGGGGTCTTTTACATTATTATTTAGTGAAATGAAACAGAAAACCAAAGCATAAAATATTTATAAACTCTGCTTTGAAGACCCCTATAAAACTGCTACTGAGTTTCTTTAAAATGAATATGCAGCCCATGATTTCAAAGCATACTCTATCAGGTACTCAAGGTCTTTTAAAACAATCTATTTTCACTCTAGATATGAAAGGGAAAAATGAGCATAAGAAGTCTCACTGAAAGCTTAAGTCTTTCCATTTCAGGTTATGGGTTTGTTTTTCCTTTTTTTATTGATCATTTACGTACTAATTCTAAAATGTCTTGCATAATGTCATACTGTTGAAAAATATTTTAAAATGTATATTTTTAAAGCTCACATTGCAAATTCAGGGAGAGTTCCTGTAGTTTAACAAAAAAGAGGAAGCACTTAAAATATTGCTCAATATTAGAAATAACACTGTCTAGCAGATATATTCTCAAGAAACCGATAATGTAAAATGTTATTTGTCTTGAAGTTAAAGCTGAACCCAATGCAGTTGTCCCCTTCATTGCAGTAGGAACAGTGTCTCTCAGTCAGCCTGAGCCACAGGCAACAGACTTGCTCAAAACAGAGTGTTTTATGGCATTTCTGTTGAAAGGAATGAAAGAAACATTTAAAACAGAGACGTAATTTCCCATTACCACTTTTTCAAAGGAAAAGCAATCACTTGCAAGAAAAATCATTTTTCCACAGAAGATAGGGATTTTCTTTCCAAACGGACTCTGAATTCCTAAAATGTCATGCCCTGTCTGAAGCACCGAGCTCCCCTGATGCCAGTACAACGTCAGAGCAGCTGCAGTTCTTTGTTTAACGCAAACAAAATCCTCAGCAAACCGGGACTGTTCACTCCCCCCTTTTCGGATCTTTCTTAGGAGCTTTAAGATATTTTTCTACTGCTGATTTTGTTCATTTCCATCTGGGAGGCATCGATTTATTTTTCCTTTTTTTCTGAAAGGAACTGGAGTGAACATGGCTGTTTATTTTTCTACTTAGATGGTGCCTTACCATGCCAAGACAACTCTGAGCACCAGCCTCATCAATTAATATCAGCACCACTCTGAGAATGGTGTTTGCTAAGAAACTGTTGCTACAGAACAAGCAAAATGAGGACAAAACATTGGGCCAAATGTGAGAAGAGGCAGAGGGGAGCCAGGATCTGTGGATCCTGGCCCAGGGAGCACAGACGGGGGAGTGCTGTCTCCCTGGCATCCTCCTGTCCTCTGCAGAAAGCCTCCCTGGGCTCCGGGCTCCATACCTGGCCAGGAGTTGCTGCGCGGGGATGCCGTTCACACAGCATATGGAGCAAGCCAGCAGAGCTGAATGCTGATTCAGCTTGGGCTGCGAGACCGCATTTCGAAAGGGAGCTGTGGTGCGGCGGGGTGCCCCTCCAGCCGACCAGGTGTGAGCAGCAGCAAACTGGGAAACAGCCCTTGAGAAATGACTGCTTGCACCAGCTGTCCTCAGATTCTATAAAAGCGAGGGGAAATGGCAAGCTCACCTTCGCAGGTTACACAGCGGGTACACTGCAAGTCTTCATTGCCGCTGAACTGAGAGCACGTGGACTGAAAGCGAGCACTTCCCATGACATTTGACACTGTGGTTTGGCTGCATCTGGATGGAAGAGAAGAGGTTGCTGTATAACCATCTTTTCTCTGTATTAGCACACAGGTATACACTGTATGTGTGACTCCATCTGTGCTTCCTCTGAGGAAATTCCTCATGTATTTTTTCTCCTTTCCATGTGGCCCCATATTCTTGCAGCAGTCCCACCAGAAGTGCTACACTACTGACCTCTGGCAATTTCTTTTCTTGACCTTCACAAGTTGCAACCCAAGGTATCTTTTTCATGCCATCTGCAGCAGTGAATAGCAAAGAGAAAACTATATGCTCTGACCAGTGAGGCATAAATGCCTTTTTGGGCCATGATTGTGCGTGTCAGTGTGATGCCAATCAACTGCTTCTGGAGGAGTTTACAGACTAAGTAGCAAGGAAAAGGGGAGAAAAAAAATAAAATGGTAGTGGGAAGAGGTGAAAGAGAAGACAGAAAGCAGGATAAAATGATTTGCTTAAGATCCCACAGAAAGGTACTGAAAGACCATGAGATAGGACTAATTTCTTACCCCCAATTCAGAGCTCTGTGTATCACAGCACACAGGCTTGGCTGCTTTGCTGCTACAACACTGCTATCATTGCACAGTTCAAAGTTGACATTAATATTTTCTCTGCTACTTTACATGATCCCATAAAAAAGGATCTCTCTGCCTGAATGTAAAAACTATTATCAGGCATGCAGTTGACCAAACTCTGCCCAGATGTTGCAGTGTGGTTGCAAACTATATGTCAGCTGTTCTTTTTGCTGCTCACCATGCAGCCAGCCTGTTCATCTGGCCATATGGAAGATCCATGGGAAAAAAAGAAAAGCTATTTGTGCATTGGTATTGAAAGTCGGAATAATAAAGCCTTTAAGATTTAATGGGTACTCAAGCTGGCTTACAAATAACCTGCTTTGTCTGCGTTATTTTGTCTGCGTCTTTCCTTATGAAAAACAAAGAATAGAAAAGAAAGATCAAAGATTGCAAACGCAGCTTTGTTTTGAAAGCCAAAATCCCTCACTCCCTTCAAAGAACCAGGAAGGCTTCTGTGTACAGGCTTCAGACTCGCACTGCACCTTGGCCTCTACCCGTGCACCCCATCGCTTCTCACCAGCCCCTGCTAGACGCAGGCAGTGACACCAGCGTGCTCGGACTCATGCACCCCGCTGAGCCCATGGGACAGGGCCCTGAAGCAAATGCAAGTCCCCGTGGCTCCCTGCTTCCCCTCCTTCCTTGCAGACACGGAGCCCACCAAAGCCTGGGGCCGAGTCCTCCTCCTGCCCGAGGTCACCCCCCAGCCCAGCCACAATGCCCTCTGCGCTACCAAAATAGCAGCGGATCCCGGGGGGAGCACACAAATGATGAGAAATGGATATTTCCTGTTAGGCAGGACGAGGCAGAAGTTTGTAATGTGACTCCCAGGCATCACTGAAGCCAAGGGGAGAGACGAGGTGGCAACTTGAGCTTTTTTCTCACTGCACTGCTCCGATGCAGCCCAAGAGGGCTTGCACCTTGTGTACCGGGGCTGATGTCCTGCAGGTGACAGTGCCACCAGGGCCAACAGGACCTGGAGCTGCAGCTATCCCACTGCCGGGCTGGGGTCACGGGGAAGCCACCAGGGGCTTGGACAGGCCAAATTTAAGCAATCAGGCTGGGTACCTACAGACTATAGATGCTCAGAAGCAATTCAGAGTGCCTAACTTGGGCTGTCTGAATGCTACAGCTTGGAAGCCTCTTTTTATCCCTGTTGACAGTTTGGGTAGTCAAAGCTCATGGTTTAGGCACTAAATTCACAGCCTAAAGCTAAAGAGTGTAAAAACCCTTTCCTTCTTTATGGCAAACGCCTCACCATGTCTAAAGCCTGTGCTCCTAACACCAGGGACCTGCAGGTACCTCTCTCTCCTAGCTAGAGGCATGCCTGGCTGGGGAGGGAGGTCCTGCGAGAAGAAGCACCTGCCTGCGTGCAGCTTGCTTTCTGCTCCGCGTGTGAGACGGCGAGCCTGGGCACGGCTGCGCGGGCGCAACTTCAGACATTTGATAATTTGGCCCTGGCTGCTCTGTCAGCTGCTGTCACTTTCTGTTTAGCGCGGCGTTCATAAGGCAGCAGTTAATGGGGCGGGAGCATGGGGAGGAATTCTGGCAAAGACGAGTCACCAGGATATTTATTTGGCCGTCCTTATGTAAAAGAGTGCAAAAATGGAGCAGTAAAATATTGTAAAACTTAAGCTGATACTTCCACTAATTCGAAGTGGCAGTTTTTAAATAGGGTTGCTTCTGTTTGTCACTTTCAATCATAGGATGCCGATAGTGGTACTTAGAAGGACTTAATAGTCTTAAGAAAACAAATAGCCCCCCTTCCCCCAAACCAGAACAAACAGAGCCATATTGTCATGCCTTGAGATACATCAAGTGTGCCGCGTGGGGCTGTCCGCGCGCTTCCTCCCTGGCCGACGCAAGCGAAAGTGACAACTTGTCACCTCTCTCGTCCTGTTCACTTTGCGTCCTGCTCGGTGCCTTGCACTCTCTTGCCTTTTGCTGTCTGCTCTCCCTGCCGCTTCCACTCCCAGGCTTCAAAAGAAAAGGACGCTCCTGTGTTGGCATCTTTTAACTGCATTTTATTTCTGCATGCCTGTTTCCTGAATTAAAAGTAACTCCTATTCCCCCCTTAATTGTCTCAGTTGTACCTCACCTGATGCAAGGCTCAGGCATGTCTGATTCAAGGAGTCTTTTGCAGACAGGGAAGAGCAGAGCAGGAACAAGCAGCAGACCTGCTGAGAAGTGGGAGGTTCCTGTACCACCTTCTCTCTCCCAGCAGCAGGATGAGTTTGTGCCATTTACAGTCATTATTTGCAATATTGAGCTCTGCAAAGCCACCCCAGTTGAGAGCCAGGGCCTTGGCTTTGTGCACAGTTCACACTAAAGGGGTCAGTGACATGCTGCCTGCTCAGGTTTGTGTTACCTAGAGACCACTGAGTAATCACTAGCCTCAATACCAGAAAGCACACTTCATTTTCCAGGGACCCACTTCTTGATCTTCACTACATACCCTGCTGCCCTACCTCTGGCTGTTCCAAGTTGTGAGTCCAGTGCCTTCCCTCAGTAGCAAGTGGGAATGATAAATGAAAGAACAAATAAAGTTTGTTTTCTTTATGCTGGGCAGATTTCAGTGATGGAAGTGAGCCTTCACCTGCCTGGAAAGATGTGCATAGGTAATACCTGGGTGCATCGTCCTGAAAGTCCTTTGTCAGTCCCTCCGTGACTTGTTCAGAGTCACCGTGTGAATGATTTTTCCCAGGAAAGGCAGCAAACACCAGCAGGGCCACCAGCAGGCAGGAGGGGTGGCAGTCACCACAGCACAGGGCAGAGGGGACAGGGAGGGTCCCCTTTGCACCACCAAGGGGCTGTCCCAGTGCAGGGACCACACTGGTGGGGCTGGGGAGGGACCACGCAGCCAGGCAATAAAGAGAGAGGACATGTGGGTCACTGCAAATCTCCCTTGCATCAAACCTTTATGCCTAACAATTAAAGAAAAAAGAAAAAGAAGAGGGAAAAAAAAAAAAAAAAAAGCATGTTTTAAACAAAAGTTTCATTTAAAGCAGAGGAGAGACAGGCAGATTTCTATCCCAAAGTGAAACTAGGTCTAACAGCTAAGGAGAGCGTGTGCGTGCGTGTGTGCAAATCCAGGAGGGGGAGTCAGATAAGAAAGAACGATTAACTTGGTGCGTGCAAGTAGTTAAGCTGTCGTCTTAAGCTCGCTCTGTCAGAATTATTGCTGTTTATTCATAAGACCACTGAGTAACAGATGTTCACCTGGCCAAGCAAACCTCCTGAAAGGAAGACATCCATATGTGGCGGCAATCAGAGTGAGCTCTGCTTCTTAGAAAAAAAAAAAAGTTTTGTTTCCTGGTATTGGTTGAAGCTTAATAAAAGAGTGGGAGGGAGAAAATAAAAGGTAAGTGGAGGAGATGGAGTGAGAAAACAAAGGGAAAGAGTGCAAAGACACAAATAAGGGCAAAGGTGAATTTACAAAAGCTAGAAGGAGCTCAGGGACGTTTCTTGAACATCACTAAAAGCATTTGTAAGAACAACAGCTACACAAGAGACAGGGATAATTAAAAGAGCACGAGCAGGAAAGAGAGAAGAATTTCTTTTCATAGTTTCTTTCTTCATGTTGTTTCAAGTTAGCAGACAACATGTGCAAGCAGTGTCCTTTCTTCTCTACTTCCGAACGCGTTTTCTTTGCTTAGCCTTTTGTTTTATTTATCTAATGGATTTAGAGCCCTGGCATCCTTTTGTGTTGAAGTTTCCTGAATCAGCCTGTCTGCTACAGCCAGGGCCAGGCACATCCTCCAAACGCAGGCCAGAGCATGGAACAAAGAAAACACCGGAGACAAGAAAGGCTCATGGGTACCTTAGAGGTAACAGGACATTCACCCTGTTTAATATCTGCGGGCCTGCTCAGGCTGGTCTGGGCATGAGCAATCTTTTTAAACGCGAAAAGCCCATTATATCATGGCATTGCGTAATCATCTCTGGAATAAAAAAAAAAAAAAAAAACGCTTCTTCAATTACTACTTGCAGGAACCCTATTAAAACGCAATAAGCGAGAGCCTAGATTCCTTTCGAGTGTTTTTTCACCCAGCTAGGTCCCCGTGCATTCAGAGCAATGGGCGGCAGAACTATAGCACAAACCATGTCGAGCTGTTCGTGCCCCGCAGTCGGTCGGATATTCCTCCTGCTGGAGAGATCACTAATTATTAAGCCGGCATTTGCCTGAGTAAGGCCTCAAGATTTGGTCCAAAGACAGCAAATGTTCTTTCTTGATTATTTCTGCAAATTAAATGAGAAGAAATTAGAAAGAGAGCATATGAAGCTTATTTGTAAGACAGATGTTAAACAGCCTAGCAGCTTCCCAGTATCCCTCTAATACTTATCCTCAATACCAAAAGATAGTCCCTTAGTCTTCGTAATGAGACAGGAATACTTAGGACTCTATTGATAGTATCCTGAACAGCCTCACAGGTCAAGGAGCACCAAATTATTTGTGCTCCTAACAATATTTCACATCTACTTCAGCTCATTTTGAAGTGGACAGCATTTTTCAAGTAATTAATTTGTTCACTGAGAAATGCAGTTTTGAGTCAACCGAAAGTATTCATTATTGCAAAGCATCTGAAAAGGAGAGAAAAAAAAAAAAAGAAAAAAAAAAAAGAGAAAAAATTTTGGAAAAGATTTTTTTTTCACTTATTTCATTATAGTGTTTTGTAACTAAAGGGAAATGCTCTTTATCATTTAAAAAGTGATTTTGTTATAAACTCAAAATAAAAAAAAAATCCCATTTTGAAGTTTAAAGCAGCTTGCAACAAAATTTTCAAGAAGAACATGTCCTCTACCAGCTGCCCTATGTGTTGGGGAGGCTTAGGGCAATAACCTTTCAAAGCTTTTTTTTTTCTCCAGCTCTCCACAGCCTCAGGGCAGGACTGTGACATCCACACGGGGAGCCCAGGCTACTCTGCCCCGGCAGGGATGGGACAGGTGTTTGCCCAGCCCTTTCCCCACCTCCAGCCCTACTTCACTGCTCAGAGCAGCCCCTGCAGTGCATGAGCCACAGCCATCGTTAGCGCACACGTTAATGAGCGTATATTGCCCAGCCAGCAGCAACAGTCGTAACAGATTTCAAGATATGGCATACCAGAATCGTAAAGCAGCTATTTGTTAGCCCTGGAGCCAAGTCAAAATATTACTCAGCAATGTTAGGAATAGCAACTGGTATCTGAACAATATTAGGACACAAAAATAGATGTATTAGTTTTTGCTTAATAAATTGCATCTAGCCTTCTGAAAAGGAGCAATGTAAATAGCAAAGAGGCATTCCGTTTATTTTTTTCCTCACTGTGTGCCTTCCATAGGAGCTTTTCTTCTGTTTGCAGACCCAAAGATGATTTTCCTATCAGCCAACTCTGCCCTTTCATCCTAGGACCTGAAGATCTCTCTGCCATTAAAAGCCTCAGCAGTTGTAGGGCTTCTGCTGCTGGGACCTTCCTGGGAGCTGTGCTGACTCAGAGGCCCAGGAGAGCCCCGTTTGCTCTCCCACAGCTGTGCTGGGTGCTGAAAGCATCAGCAGGGATCCAGCCACACGAGACCTAACTGGTCATCCTACAATTTTGCACATACACTAATTGTCTTATAATGAGCAAAAGGGCACTATTTTTATGTATCTGCTTTGTTATATTTTAAGCAAAAACATTTTTAAATAGGAAACAGAAAGAACATATCCACGGTATTCAGCTGCTGAAAAGGAGCATAGCTCTGCTAACCTCACCAACATCCCACCAGTTTACACAAGCTCAGAAACCAGCTCAGAAACCAAGGGAACAGGCGCCACGGAGGAACACAGGAGACCTTTTTTAGGCTCCAGCTTCCGAACGCTGTATGCACAATCTTAATTGAAGTGAGTCATTCTTCCGACACGCACAGGGCTCCGGCAAGCTCCAAGCCCCATAATGAATTTGTCCAGGCTCAGAACATTTGACACTGAATCTGTCACAGATCAGATTACTACGCTGTCCTACTTCTGAATACACAGGGACATTATCTTAGCATTCTTACGTGCCCATCTTGAAGACGATAGCCAGAGCTGTCAGCACGCAGAGGTGATGGACGACGTTTTGCTAAGAGGATGGCACTCCCCGAAGAAGAATTCCTGAGCCCCAGAGATAGGGACAACACAGATACATGTTCCTTGCAAGTGCCAGCAAAACCAGAAGCTTCAGTTTATTTCTTTTTCCGAATATTAGTTCAAATATCTTGATTTTTTTTTTAAATTCTGGACGGTAACCATGCAAAAATGATGTATTCCATCTGTAACATTATCGTAATATAATGGATAAATATTGAAATAATGAATGCTTTCTGTCATATAACTACAACTGTATTCTCTAAAGGCTAGACAGAAGCACATTTTAAACCAATTTAAAAAGTGAAGAAACCCAAAGAAAATAACCATGAAATTTTTATAGTGAAGATACACAAACATTGAGGAACTTTTGCATATCTCTGTGTTAGTATCCTTACCACAACCACTCAAACTGCTGTCTTGCATTTGCCAGTGGCCCAGCTGACGCTCTGGTTTTCTCCAGCATGGAGAACTCGGTCTTATCGCTTCCTGTCTATTTTGAGACCTCCCTGACTTTTCTCTTTCCAGCAGAGATATTTCTCAAATCATTCTTCTTAACATCAGGTAAAATAAATCATCTGGATGAAGAAAAAGGCTATGACCACAATTTCTCCATGCTACATTTTTAAAAGCTTGGGAACAATCTTTGTAACATCCTGGTTATTTCTTCCTTACTGATTAGCACATCATTGCTTGTCATTTTCTCTGCCCCCATGCCCCATTTCCTCTTTCTTATGCTACCTAACCCCTCTTTCCCACCTTCCCCACTTAGCTTTGAAACCAGACCACATCTGCAAATTTCTTCATCAAATCCTATCAAGTAAGGAAAATGCAACCTAGCACAGATTATTGTTCCATTTCACACTCTACTCTGAATCGTGTCCATCTGCAAACGTATTTTTTTTTATACCCACACCACCTCTTTATCCACTGATGTACTTCATATCCAAGCCTGCCTATGGACCTAAGAAGCCACTTTTTGCATGGTGCTAGATCAAAAAGGTTTCTTGAGGATCAGATCAGTTGTAGCCAGCCTTCCTTCAGTCAGTGTCTTGTGACTTCCCCTAAAAATTCCAGAAGATTATCGCTTCCATGCACTTCAGTTCTGCAGTATCCAAAGTAATAGCAAAAGTCTCGGTCTTTTCATTCCCACTCAGACTCTGATTTATGATTTTATTGTCTTCCAGCTACTAAAATCAATCATACCCATAGACATGCAATTTTCTGAATCCTTCCTAGATACAGTTTTGAACTACCAGCTGAATCTCCTGTGATGCTGGTACTGAGGAATATGCCAAAGCATCTTTCCCTTATTGTACAACTGTGTTTCTGAAGCAAAACTTTCATGTTATCTTGCTGACTGCCATGCTTGTGACAATAACCTTGAACATATTAATGGACCATAAACCAGTATTTGTCTGACATTGTAGATAGCTTGAAACTATAGCTTTGAGAAGTGTGGACAGCCCCCATCCCCTTCAATAGTGTGTTAGTGCTGAAAAAAAATTGACAATTTAAATTCCAACATTATTAATGATTCCACTGATGATCATTTCAGCAGAAGCCTACAGCCAATGCATTTACTCCACAGTCCCAAACTGCCTCCCATGCCTTCCCAGGTGCCAAAAGCTCCAACTGTCCCCTACCCAATTGCCAAAGTCTTCAGCTTCCCCATGGCAACTCCTACAATGCAGTTCTGCATTCTCGCTACAACATTGAACTGAGTAGGGAGCGAACGTCAGGAAAATAGCATCAATTAAATTGATTTCAATATCAAAATAAATAATACCAATTGTTTTATTCATTTAGGTACTTAATTGAGTAAACTTTTATATAAATTTAATTTAAACAAATCTGCTATTGAACTGCAGGCTGCTTCACCAGAAGGCTGCAGGACTAAGGACCCTGCCAAACAATTGAAGTCCAGTTTGTTAGAGTCCATACTTCTCAGAACAGAACTACTGCTTTAAGAAGTTAAATTCCATCATAATATGTTGATTCTTTTTTTTTTTTTTTCCTGGTCTATGAACACTTGATGTAGTCCACAGCAAGCTGACAAACAGTATGGCACCAAAACTATCCCATGTATTCCAGAGTCATTCCGATTCACACCACCTAGAAATCAGTAGTATGTCTTTAGCCATGTACTCTCATACAAACAGAGCCTTAAGTGTGTTATCCTACCTTTCTTGACTTTTCCTACAGAAACCAGACTGACTCCCATCTGAACAAGTCATTTTGCAAGTCTTCAGATATTCTAATTTCTTAATAACCTGTTCTGGCATGATCCTGATTTCCTTCAGTGTTTCTTTCTCCTCCCCAGGGAAATTTATGCTTGCTTCTGACACCTGTGCCTGCCACCACTATCTTCTTTTCAGAGCACGAGAGCAAGAAATGCATTGAATATTTTAAGCAATATCTACCTTTCCTTTCAATAATTTTTCTCTGCCATGTCTTAAAGGCCCTTCTGTCTTCCACAGACCTCTTTTTCCTTGTGTACTTGAAAAAAGTCATTATTTTCTCTCAGCCTCCTGCACAATCTTTTTTTCATTCTCGACCTTTGCTTTTCTTATCATTTTAATACTTTCTGAACTTCACTTTGTAATCTTTCTGGTCTTCCCCTGTACTTGATGTTTAATACCTCACATATGCCTCTTTCTTACCCTTGATTACTTTGAGGGGGGGCTTGTTCATCACAGTGTGAATGTATTTCTTTCAAGCCTGCATATCAGATGGCCCTTGGGCATATATTAATTTCAGTTCTGCACATTTTCAGTTTCTCATCAATGGTCTTGTCCTCTCCATTACTTTTCAGTCAGCCCCTCCCACAGACTCCCAAAACCCACTCTGAAAGTTTTGAAAACTTGCACAAAACCAGCAGTGTGCTTTTCAAAGGGAACTGGTTGCAAGCCCAAAAGGAAAACATGATGATGATCCACACTGCTGTGACCAAGCTATCCTGGATGTGCTGAGCTCTCAGCCAATTTCATGCCTTTTCCAGGCTCTGATCAACAGAGATCAAACTGGAAGCAGAAACACCTCGTGGGCTGAGGGCCCTTCTGCCACGGGAGGGCCGTGAGTCTGCAGCACATCTCTGCGCTGCTCTTCCTGATGCCGCTGTACTCCCTTTGCATCTGAGGAGGTGGACGAGCAG